CGTTCACATTCATAATACCATCTTTCTACGGGTATTTTTACACTCGATGTTGTATTTTACCGTTTGCTTCTTCTTCTTCTTTGTCTTTCCAGTGTCCCATTTCTTGCTCCGTTTTTGTACCGTATGCCTCTTAACTTTCGGCGCTGTTACCATTGCACTATAATTTCATCTGATTATTAGCTATTAAATGAATGGACCCTCACTGAATCAACCCCATAAACAATATTGCAAACAAGACAAAAGATGATACTAAACACAAATCAACCCAAAATACACACTCCTATAGCATTGACCGCATCACGTTATGAAAACTCCTATCCCATCTACAAAATTTTCTACGTACATCTGACGGTAGTTCATGGTGTCAGTATTGGTCGAATTAAGTATCGATTTTACGAATGTTTAAATGTTTCGTCAAGATCTTAATTATTCTCAACCATCACATCAATTTGATGCTATTAATTTGTCAAGAGTGGCTGTGAAAGGATAAGGTGACATGAGTAATTCGAGAATTTGTAATACCGTCAATAAATATCAAATGAGTCTATTAACTATTGTCTTATAAATTACAATTTTACTGGGTTACTTGTTTGTATAAATAAATTTGAAATAGTGCGAAATATGCGGTCCAAAGCGATTTAGACATGTAAATCGATCGATCGTCTTATCTTGGTGTAAGAGGCAAAAAACTAATCGAACTTTCTAGTAGCTAGTTCTCTCAAAAGTTTCTCTCATGTTAGTTGGTGTACGTTTTGAAGTAGTTATATTCGGTAAGAAGAATGTTCACAGAAAATATGGGGGAAGAAATCTTCAGCCCATTCTCAAATTTTCAATAAGTATAACGTCTTGTTTCCTTAGATGAAACGGCAACATTGAATGTATACTCCAAGTGGAAAGTTCCAAGTTATAAGCAAAACTGGAAGTTTGAGATAAACTAAGCAAAACATTGAGATAACTTCTCTTTGATGAACTTCACCAATCACTGATTGCTGCTTCGTTGAAAAGAGCAAAACTGAAATTATTCAATAATTATGCTATTGCTATTCAAAAATAACGACTAACTAAAAATTCTTGACTAGTTTTTGTACACATATGCAAAAAATAAGTAAGTGAATAAGGGAAGAATAAATAATTTATTAATTGAATAAATAAAAAAGAACAAATAAACAAAAACAAATAAATAAACCAAACAAAAAAGACAAAAAAAAAAAAAAAAAGGATAAGATGTTTGGTTTAAACGAATGCAAAGAAGATATTTGTAAATTAGATTATCTTTTGAACCATATGCGAATTCTCAAAATTGATTGCGGAATAGTTTGGAATGATAATTATCCGATCTGGTAAATCAATCAGAATCATTCAAATTCTAATCGATAATTGAAAGGTATAGAATGAAAGCTAAATTCATACGATTTGCTAATTGAGCACCAATCATTCAATATGATATTTGAGCAATTAAATTTCTGCAATTCTTATTTTTTTGTATTCATGCTGCTGCTATTCATCTCAATTCATATTCTTGCGCTTCATCAATCAATTCCATTAATCAATTTACAACCGATCAATTCCGCTGATCAGTTTCATTGACCAATCACACTTTTTTTTCCCATTTTACCCAAGAATTTAATTTCACCGAGCATAATGATTGATGCTATATGAAACAGAAGTAAAAATCGGACATATTTCTCACAAAAGGTTGGTCCCTCTCCCCGGCCGGGAATCGAACCCGGGTCTCGCACGTGACAGGCGCGGATACTCACCACTATACTACCGAGGATACATATAAGGATTCACTCAAGTGCATCATTAATCTAAGAATTATCCTTTCTGAAAATAGATTCGGCAAAAATTTCGGGCGATTAATGAATCAATATTCTTGCAAATTTTTATATTTTAATCGGTTTTTTTAATTAAAGCAAGGAACCATTTCCAACTGTATTTGGCACAAATATGTTGGAAATCAAATATTTGATAGAAATGAAAATTTAAAAATTAAATTGAAATTTCCTTAAAGTTCCTTTTGATGCTAATATGTGTGTAACATCTGTGATGATATACTATAAAATTATATCTTTGAGTGAAATTGCACATGTATTTTTTTAATTCGAAGTTTAATCTTTTCAAGTTCTGTTTTTTAATTTTTGATTAAATTCAGTTTAGCTTAATTTTTTCCCAACATATAAATTTCAATTTTGTGTCAAACTGGTATATAATAGCATAACAAATGGGATTGTAAAACAAGACGCGATGATTCAAATGGGTAAATCAATTAAAGTAAATCAAATAAATCGACTATTGATTAATAATAATGATGGCACTGTGATAAGGAACTTTCGATGGTTGCTGCAAGAAGTATAAATTCATTTATCGATCGATTTATTAATTGATTGATTTGTCGATTTATTGACTTATCGATTAACCAAACTTTCGATATAATAGTTGAATTCTCGTGAAATTTACATAAATTAAACAACAATCAAACGATCATAATTGCTGATTATATAACCAAACATTTTTTTTTTTCCATAGATCTGTGAGCAAAAGAGAAACCAGAAGTTTGTAGACAATTAGATTTTGTCCGATGTTCCGTATCAATCTATCATGTTAGTTTCCACCATATCATTTTCGGTAAAACTGATCAAAATCATCGTAAAAGGTAGGATTATTTTGATGAGATTCCATTTCGGATTCAGTTTTTTTATGCCGGGTAACTGCAACAGCTGATTTAGCCCGTTTGTTGTGTGCATTTCGGACACGGGAAACATGACGTGTGATTGATAATTCTTCACGAAATGATCGATGTATCGATGAACGAGAAGATGGTCTAATAAAGGAACTTTGACATGCTGCAGTTAGTTTACGTGATACGTGACAAGCACCATTTCTTGACGTTATGTGATCTGAAAACTGATTAAAAATCATCTTATTCAAAATATAAATGCTCTTTGTTTTATCCCTTATATTCCGTTTAATTTAACAGTGACAATTTAATCAGCCAAAAATGAAAATCTAGATGGAAAAATTAAAAACATCTCTATTATTTAAAAATTTTAGGATTTCACCGCAATCACTTCTATTCCAATTCCATTCTTTTCCACGATGTTGAAATGATCTATGGACTATTTCACATTCTTCGATACCTTCGGATGATGTTTCATTTGTGTTCGCAGGTGAAATATGTTGTGAACTAATGCCAGAATCTATTGGAAAGATATCTTTACGGTAGATCGTCACATCATGCTCACCATAACAATGGTCAACATTAGTAAATGCATTTACCTATAAATAAACTACTAATAACAATTAATAAATACTATCATAACTTATTAAATGGAACTAGAATTTCGTCTACAAATTGAAATCTGAATTTAAATAATTGAAAAAACTCACATTCTAACAAAAATACAAGAAAAGATACTTAACATTTCAATAGAATTAGTTTGATAGTATGATTGACAAAATATAGAAAAAATGAAAAATTTAGGAAAAAAAATCAGACGATAAAAATTCAAATTAATTAATTAAATAAGCTATTCTAATACTTTAGCTTAACTACTAACTACTTTGGGAACGTTAGGCCATTGTCTCAGATATTTGATATCTTCACATTTCTTTTTTACGATTTCATTTCTTTTCATTTCTCTGATCCTCGTACTAGTATCGGATATTGCGAAATATTGTTGATGTGCAGTTGTTTCATCTGAAATTTAAATTTTCAAATTAGACAAAAATTTAACTTTTATCTTCTACCAAAAAAAGAAACCTTTTACCTGCATTATAAGTATTCCAAAAATAGTTTCTCATCACAATTAATAGATTATGAATGAATTTTTATGCAGTACCTGTATTCCAAAAGTAATTTGTCACCACAATCAATAGATCATGAATGAACTGAAACAGGATAGCAATCATTGTCCATAAAATTGATGCAATGATTAGTGTTGGTTGTGAATTTGTTGAAAGATTAGCTGATAAAGCCTTAAAATGAAATGTTATCTTATTAAAATCGATAGAAAATAAAAATCCCATTTTAAGACACCGAAAAAAAAATTAAATAAATAATGAATAAGAAATACATTTGGTCCTTTCTTTTCCTTGAAAATTTTTGAGAAATTTAGAAACAATCGATATTATTGATGGCGTGAAAAAACAACAATAATAACAACAACAATAATTAATCCATTTTACAATAAACTTAATTAATTGCAAAATTTTTAATTGAATTATATTAATTTAAAAATTCATACATTTTTGCAAACTTTTTGTGATATCTTATTTTGCCTTTTGTTATTCCATTGATTATATTCATTATTCTGAAATTCATTATTGTTTGAATAATTAGTAGGGAGTTTTACTATTGATGATTATAAATTTGAATTTAAAACATTTATTTCCAGAAGAATATTTACAAAAGCAAATTAATAATTAATTGAAACGTTGGAAAAAAGTGAATTTTTTTTAATGAAAAATTCAAAAAAAAAGTAGGTTATCTAATGATCAATTAATAGGATAATCAATTAATAATTTGAAATGTCCGTTTAATCCACTCATTATCAAATATTTAATTCAGATTATTTTTGCATGCAAATATATACCAATATGTTGTACCTTAATTTTTTTCTTAGTCACATTTCGTTCGCTCATTTATTAACTGCAAAAAATATATATAACATATGTAAATGTATATCTTCCTATATGCTGCTTAATTTGATATCCAAATTTAAACTTTTTTTTATAAAATTTCCATTTTCACATATTGCTATGACGATAAATGAATAGAACAAAATAAATTTTCGTTGAAATAAAAATAGATTTTAAATTTTAATAAATAAATCTTAGTGGACTCGAAAAAGTTAAAATCAAATTGAATCAAAAAAATTGAAACAAATTTTCCTAAAAACACTTTTTATCAAAAGTTGAAAAAACATTGATTCTTTATTCATTAAAATATTTCCATTTTAACAAGAAAATTTTCGAATTTACTATCAAAGATAAAAAAGGAAATGATTTGAAGTAAAAGAAAGGAAAAGTGAGCAAAAAATGAATTAAAAGAATAAAAGGAAACAAAGAGAAAGACGAAATTTCAATTAATTTAAATCAATCAGTCAATGAATATACAAACAAAACACAATTGATCTAAATCGATCAATCAATCAATCAATCAGTACAACTAAAGAAATAGAAATGATCCAAATCAATCAATCAATGAATACATCAAGGGATTTGTAGCAGTAGCTTATTAAACTTAATCCTGTCCCTTTTTCGCTCAATTCTTTTGTTTTTTTCTCGATTTTTGTTTAAAAAATGACTGCTTTATGCATATTTTCCTTTATGATCTTTTCTTCCCTCTCTTTTTCTCTCTCTCTTTCCCCCTCTTCTCAATATAACATACATATTAATTTAAACAAGTAAGAATAAAATTCAAAAGAAATTTCAGCAGCATAAAAATTAAGAGAAATTTTAATAGTGAAAATCCGAATATGACAATTTACTACACGAAAATCATTAATTTATTAGAAATAAATTTAAAATTATCACTAATAACTGATCAGTTGGAGGAAATCTGAAAAACATATTGATGATAACTTTATTTGGTAGTCGTTTATGAATTATATTGAAATTTTGTTTTTCAAAAAAAAAGAAAGACAAGACAATTAAATATAAACTTGGCAAAAAAAATGGAATAAAAGACTTGAAATGTACGATGTACATGATAACAAAAACAAAATTATTATATCATCAAACTTCTTTTTTTTCAATTAGATATATTAAATATGATTAATAAGATATTTTCAAGTATATTATAAATTACTTTTGTCAAATTGATTGTGTATATGAAAGTTATGATAAAAATGTAACTCAATAATACTTTAAATAATTGAATGATATTATGAAAGAAATGATAAAAACGAATTATTAAAGAAAAAAATGAAGGAATTTAAAATCGTCCATTAAAATGAAAATATTTTCAAATTGTATTTCCATCTTTCATTTTCTTATTTGCTTCTCAAGGACTTAGATTCGAAGAACATTTATTAAAAAAGACTAATTGCAATAAGGAAGCAGCAATTTATCATTAGTATATACATATATTCCTTGAATATTCTATCCATAATTAATTGATTGAAACTTCAGATAACCTCAAATTAAGCATATTGAAATGCGATAGTGAAAAATATTGCGTATTTTCTCCTTCCTTCACACCAATTTTTTATTAAATGATATTACTGCAGACTTTCTTATTTCAAATTCATTAATAAAATTCATTCAAATTACTGAATTAATAACAGGAATTATAATCCAATTTCATCCGGCCAAGTAAAACTTCGTATGTCTGGAGATAATTATTAAGGTAAGCAAAAAATGGAAAATAATGAAATACCCAATAAATATTTTTTAAGTGAATAAACTAACAAATCGTATACAGCAAAGTACTGATGCATGTTAGCAACAACAGCTGTTTCAGGAAGAGTAATAGTTGCTGATTCTGTTGCTTATTTACCAATTTTTTTTTTATCTTTTCCCATCATTTTGAGTAGTTATCAATTACTCAAAGTTTGTATTGTGCTCAAGATCAAAAAAAAAGGAAAAGAAAAAAACCGAATTATATGCCTAACAATTTGTTATAAAACGATGGCGCAGCTAAATCTCGAACGAATTTCATTTAATAAAATCCTTTCAACATCTTTTTCCACTTGTTTCTGTGTTTTCATCAATCAATCATCAAAATCTCGCGGCACCTCCCCTGTTATTTCCTCTGCATGAAGTGGGCTGGTATGATGAAAATGTTTCATTTGATGAAAATGCTTTCATTTGATTCTCCATAACCTTTTGTCATCACAGATTATTTTTAAAAAGTAACAGAATCCAGAATAATAAAGTTAAAACAATATTCCATTTTTAAGCTTTCTTAAAGATCTGATTCACATTTCTTAACTCTTCCTTTGCTGATTGCTTACCTTACAATTATTTTACAAATACTGTTCTGTCATTTGAACAAAGCTCAGAAGGTAAATATTTTATACTGTTTGGTTAGTTCGATGCATTTTACAGATTTCAGTTAATAAACATGTTTTTCTTTTTCGGAATGCCAATAGATTAAAACATTTATCACCGCCGAGTAGCACGTAACATATGTCCACCACCTTCGAATGGCATAGCACCACCGGATTTTTTCCCTTTTGCTGCTTCGGCCAATTCTTTCTCCATAAGTGAACGACATTTATACTCGTACCTGCATTGTAAGATGCATTATAAGATGTAAGATTGAACTACGTATTCGTTATATTTCTCTCTTAACTTGATTTCAGTGAATTTGATAATTTTCGACTAAAACCAATTGGAACCTTCAAGCTAATCACGATCACGCCGCAAAATGATGATTTACGAAGGCAAAAAAGGTATATAATCGATACAGCAAGAATCTTATACATCAGCAATAAATGAAACGATTCGAATGGTTTGTACCATCACCTAACCAAGAAGGTTAAAATTAGTCGTACCCAACAATCTAGTACAATAAATGAAGCCGAATGAAATGATTCCCTAAACATGAAATTTCAATCTTGACGTGACTGCAGCCTACATCTTCAGCAAAAGAAAACTTTTCTTTTACAACAAGAGGAAAAGAACTACTAACCTCACAAATTCCAATTTCCCGGGAATATAATTGGTATTAACGACCAACTGCGGAAGTGATCGCACAGCTGCTTCCATTTCAGTCAGTGAAGTTGTCGATGACTTCAATTTCCCGTCTAAACGATGACCCGTACCAGTAAATGCTTTGAATCCACTACCGGCTTTAATTCCTGTTTCATTTACGACTGGTGTTGATGACATTGATGGCTGAAAAAAATGATTAATTCGCTCCATTTGCAATTTTCCAACAAAGTCAATTCTTGGTAATCCAAATTCAAATAAGTACCTGTTTACCATTTAAAAGTTATTCACAACACAAAGTTGTCATATAGATCGAACCTTTCGATCTAATATTCACTGTCTAAATAAAAAGTAAAGTGTTGCTTGTCACGTTAAAGATGAAACCACTAAAACAATTTGCCATAACGTTTTGTATCCTTCTTCCCCTCTCTTTAACAAGGTAAACCCAAAAAGTTAAGCAATAGTTCTTAGATGATATTTTCAATTACAATACGAATGAAGGGAATCTGTGCACTGTGTTATTCTGGTAGCAGTCTTCTAACCTTACATCTGTAATATGAAAAATTAAAATGTGCGAAACCTACTGTTGCATTTGAGCTAGACGCTGCATTTGTATTGGGTTCAACATAACCCTCTGGTGCATCAAACTCCACATTCATATCACATTCGATGATTGAAACTGCTCTTCCGGGTTTTACTTCCATCACCAAAAATTCCAAAATTTGATCGTTGTACTAAAGGAAAGAAACTTTGTCGATATGGGAAAAAATTACTCCAACAATGCTTCAAGAAGGAAAAAATATATCTTTGAGCATTGCAACAAACTCCATGAATAAAAAAATAAGAGAAAAAAACCTTCGTTATTCTTATGAAAAAAAATCTTCGTTACTTTTCGTTATTCTTGCTTCCTAACGCACTTATTGTTACAAGTAGCAGAAGGAAGGGAGAAAAAAAAATCATTTTTATGATGGTAGAACTATTGTACAATATATTTTGAAGCTCGAGCAATTTCACTGAATTAATAACCATGAATTTCAGCAGCAAGGTAAAATATATCTCTATGTTCTCACAGTTCAAACTTGCAAACCGAAGAAATTTTTATTATCCGTAGTTTAAAAATAAACATATCAAGATAACTAATAAGAGGCTAAGATAAATTGTAGTTCATATCCTATTTCTACTGGCAAGCTAATTCCAAAACTGCCACGAGTATGGGGTATGAGTCTTCCCTCAATTTTCTTTCTCACTATCTCGTCGTAGACGGCTGAAAATATAAAGTCTATTCTAACGTTATACTTCTATTACTAGGTATCTAGAAGATGTCCAGTATGTTCGTGTTACTTTCGAGACCACACAAACGCTTGATCATTCCTAGTATCCTTTCCCTAGTGATACATTTATTCCGTTCCAAACAGTTGAAATCTGCGTTGAAAACTATCGTCGATACACAATTCTAAATTAACTCTTATCTATAGAGTTACATTCGATTTTCAGCATGCTGTAAATGACAGAAAATGAAAATTCTGATAACCATCAAGCTGACCTCAACAGCAATAATGTCTCCCTTTGTAAGACATGCAAATTTTCGTAGCTCCACCTCGAGTACAGCTCTCGGATTTGAAATAGCCAAAAAATCCGTAGACTGCGGTTTTAGTTTCGTATATGTGGCTTTCGGTAATGTGGCATATGTTATTCGAACACATTCACCCTCATTAAGGTGCAGTTGACGCATCATCTAAAAGGAAAACAGTTGGGCTTGCTTCCGAAACATAATTTTAACAAGATTACCAAGATGTTTCCGCATTCAATTTGTTACATCACACTGTGAGATATTTAGCATAGTAATTATCGTGCGAATAAGAGTACCTGAGTGCCACTACTGAAAAAAATAAAACCTGTACAGGTCGAATTCAATTAATGATTTATGGCAAAATTGCTTAGAGTTATATTTGTTCTAATTAGATGAACGAATTAGCCTCTTATTATTGTCCGTTCTGCTGCCTATAAAAAAGTTTTTCAGTTGGTCACAAATATTTTAATGGAAGAAAATCTTCTATACAGAACCTAAGAACTACACATGTATTCGTCAGACTTCTACTTATTTTTATTCTTAAGAAGGTTATTTTTTAAGGACTCCTTTATTTTTAAGAAATTCCACTTAACAATTCGATTTACCTTCCTATGATTCATGTGTCTTTTTATGAATTCGATTTGAAATTACCAAATCAACCATCCTTCATGTCATGCTCAATGCTTCTAATAACCCTAATTAGCTATATATATCTCACTTATAATTTACCCAAGATGGAAGATAGCAACGACCCTCTTCAGCCAAGAATTCCAAAACGCCGCAGTGCGTTGAATATCCTGAATCGCTCAGATTTTGCACTCTGAACATCATTGGATATTCGATGTTAAGACGAACTAATAGATCCAAAGCTGATGGCGGAAGTAAAATCTGAATAAAAATAACGGATAACAGGACAGTAACACGAGGAATAAATCAAAAAAAAAAAAAACCAGGATTTTTTCGGCACTTTATAATACGTCGAATATCATGAATAAATGTCCGTGATTCAAGTAGTGGTTGATCAATTTTTTGATGTGATTGAGGAATTTTACACTAACAGATTGCAGTATATGCATAAAGCACTGCATTTCCTAACTTATAATTTTGAGTAGAAATTGATTTATCTTTTACTGCCGTGACAGGTAAGGCAAAAGGAAATGCCTTTTTCTTTTATTCATATCTTAAAATAATTGTAATGGAAATTTGTCCTTCAGCTACCCAAATCTACAAACAGGATAATGAAATTTCGTTCTTCCTTTACCCATAGCAGAGGGTAAGGTAGTGTAAAGTACTTGTTTTTCCTATGCCTAGCTCAGCCAAACAAATAGCCACCAATAAATACGATGAAACAAACAGAAGATACCACTTTATATATATTCGGTTCGAAATCTTTTTTTTTTAATTTAAAAAGTAAAATTCACATTACCTTTCCCCCGTGATTCAACTCATTTATTTTCTTTGTATCCGCTCCTTCATAGAAGGCAGCCGAAAAGCACCGAAGTTGCAAATCAAAGGGACGTACCGGCGCTCCAAACATCATTGCTCCAAAACCATCGAACATGTTTTCGGCTTAACTCCAACGCTGAAACGCTGAAAAAAAAGTTCCTTTGCTCATATATTTACTTGAGCTTGAGATATGGCACGGAACTTGTACGTTTTATATTGCCGACTTTTCTTTCCTTTATTCATTTACTAGAAATCATAGCCGTAATCTTACAATAACAGTTAATGTTTAATAGTACTTGTTGCAGATTGTGAAAGTAATTTATCTGTGTTTATGAGTGTTCATTCATTTTTCATGTCATTGGAAAATTCTAGAAATTGAGAGAGATATCACCTTACTTCGCATGCCATTTTATTGGACAATCAAGGGTAATACAATTTAAATAACACACTGATAATCTTCAGAAATTTTCTGGTGGAAAAAAAATTTTAAATAAAGAATATCCATGGGAGGTTAAAGAATGATGACCTCAAGTATTGTTGTCAGGGATTGGAAGAGAGTGAAAAGACACCGCGAATTCCAGAAAATAAAGAGAGAATGACAAAATTTTGGTAAATAGTATGACTTTTGAAGATTTCAAAGAATTTTGTCAACAAACATCTTATCAAAATGATAGTGGTAACATTGACAGGATACCTACAGACAGATGTAATAATAGTTGAAGAGACGACAGAATTAACGGACTTAACGAAATATCCACAAGTGGCAGTGACACCAAAGAGTGAAAGTACCCCTGTATTCGTCATAACGTTTTAGTTCCACAAGACAAAAACGTGGCTTTATTTTCACGGACTCATTAGGCAAATGTATGTCCCATTATGATGATTAGGAATAAAGGTAAAAAGGTTTCGAGCTTACTCGGGTTCCACTAGAGTTTGACAGAGTTAGTACATTGTGAAAAGTACCACAGATATCTGGTGTAACGGATAACTTATCCGAAGTAACAGTTAAAGGTAGCAGGATTATATGGGATAGAAGCATTTTCATACTGTTCCGTGGGTTACGGGAAATGAATTCCATGTTCGAGTACTTCAGGTTTGTGCGGGAAAGGTATAGGTGCGTTGGATGAGGGGGGTCTGGTGTGTTGTGTGGGTTTTCCAGGACGCGGTTGTTTTACGTGAAACTCTGATCAAGTCTCGTGCAACCGCGAGAGAAGTTTTGACTTTTTGCGATTTTTGCATCCTACAGACTGAATGAGTTCGTATCCGTGCAAACTGGTCGGTTGGGTAAGCTAAAATTCGTGAATCAAGTGAATTTGCTTTATGAGATAGCTCTTAGCGTCTTCCTGGGTGATCTTCCACTGTTAGCTTTTTACTGGATTGTTTAGTTTATTACGCAATTATCTCCAAAAAAAAAAACTGCTTATGGTAGTGCAGACGAGTTTTTTTCAGTGCCGCAATTTCTGACCAATATACTCTTCTAATGCGCTGACCAATATACTCTAAGAATTCCAAAAAAAGAGTGGCATTTAGAAAAATATAATTCGAACACGAAAGTCTTTCATTTTTATAGTTTATGATTATCCGTCGTGTGAATTAAGAAAATTTTCAGGTGGGGTAGTAATACAAATTGTCTGCTCAGGTTATTTTTTTCTCCATTTTCCAATTCGTTAAATTAATTTCAACAAATGACTTTAGGTGCAAGAAGAATGGCTCAGGAGGAGCTGTTAGAAGTATTACAACGGACCGCTTCATTAAGTAAATTGTTTTCATGTTTTATCCTTTTTCCTTTGAAATCATATAAACCTCGTGTAAAGTTGAACGATATGAATGAGGTGATATGGAATGAGCGTAAATTACATATAAAAGAGAGTGGTAACTACAAATTCATGATATGGATAGGACTGGTAAGAACTAAGTGATCCTGACTTGAATGCAAGTGAAGACGCGCACTGGTTATCCAAAAGTTCTGCACTGTGAGATATCCTTTTTGGTTTCTATATAAACTATTTCTAAACACTAGGAGAGTCTCCATCCTTGACATATACTGCATAAGTGCTTATGATCTCAGTTTCCGTGTATGGTGTAAGCGCCTAAATGAACATCATAAAGAGAATTGTAAAGAATTCAAGTTTATATGCATACCTTTCATTATTGGCTTAATTAATAATTCTTCAGATCCAAATGATCAAACTCTTGCTTTGGATTATTTGCGACGTGCATGTGTTACTAATTTTGTAAGCCAGTTTCCTCACCTAACTTTTTTTTAGTATTTTTAAATTTTTTTTTAAAAAGAATGGAATTTCTATTTGTTATGTGATCATTCTATCCAGTAGCTACATTCTTGCTTAACACAACGGTTTTTAGGTTTTTTTTTAGTTTTAGATGTTTGCATACTTTTGCATTTTTATTGGGAATGAAAGGTAGGTAGGTCTTATCAACTGGTAAAAATTTTCAGCCAGAATTCACAAAACAACTGTCGACGGTTCTAGCAACGCCATCCTATTCAAATTTTGCAAGGCAAGCTGCTGGTTTACAACTGAAAAATGTTTTGGTTGCCAAAGAAGACGCGACGAAAAATGAATATCTTACAAGGTATTTTTTCATTATTTACAGGTCTTTATCGAAATATAATGTAATTTTTTGGCAAAAGAAAGATGCTAATGGAAAAAATTATAATGGTAAACAAGAAAAAGAATTTTCCTTAGTAGATTAGTAGCTGTTCTTAAAATATGTTTGATTTCTTTACATTAAATCTTAATGTTGAAATACGCGAAGAATTTGCTTATCTACACGTAATAACAAGATTTTGTCCTGCCTTTGTAATTATATTTTTCGCCACCAAACTCAAAGGGAAAAACAAATCTCGGAAATACAGGAGATGGTGATGCGTTAATGAATGAATGACAATATTTTCAGGTGGCTTGCTTTACCAATAGATGTTCGGGAATTTGTGAAGCAAAACGTAGTTCGTACTCTTGGTACTGAACCTTTTAGGCCGTCCATTGCAGCTCAATGTGTTGCTGCTATCGCATGTGCCGAAATACCTTCACAGGTAGATTTTTTAAATTGAATTTCTTATATGAGTCAAGGTTAATCATGTGAAGCGACGCACTCAATAAACAGCTGGACCTAGTAAAGTGGTAATAGTGGTAATTTGTGTAATGAATGAGGTTTTATATGATATTAAAATTTGGTAGTTTATTTATTAGAGTTCTTTTTTTTAATACTGAAATTTCTATTGAGTTCATGTTTGAATTTTCAATGTTTAATGCAGAGAAGAATGCTGTTGAAGAAAGAAATCGTAGAATATCTTAACGAAAAACACTGCGTCTCACTAAAATTAGAGAATAGGTGCATTAAATGAAAATCCTCCAAAATATCGTTTCAGATGTGGCCGGATGTTATAACGCATTTAAAGGATAGCGTAGTAGCAACGAACAACAGTGAAATATTAAGGGAAGCGTCGTTAGAGGTAGCTCTTTATTTCTCAATACTTTTTTGTTACATAGTTCTTTTTTTCGTAATTTGAATAAATTTGTATTAGATTGAAATTCAAACATGACTGTCAACATTTTTGTGAAACAAAATCATGGCTACTGAAGTTGTAATAAGTTGTGGTTATCGCGAACCGTAAATGCAGTTGTAATAAGTAACCATAATTGTCGTTAACTTACCATTTAGGCACTGGGTTACATTTGTCAAGATATATGCGGATCATTACTGGAAAGAGAATCGAATCAGATTCTAACCGCCATTGTTCATGGGTTACGAAAGGATGAACCATCCAATCATATTCGTCTTGCAGCTGCTAACGCTATGTTAAATTCGATCGAATTCACGAAACATAACTTCAGCAGAGAGGTCTTTTTTTTGTTTGTAAATGCGAAATTTGCATATCAGCCAAATACGCAAATTTCGCGCCAGCTCGTATCAGCTCAAAATTGAAGCGACTGAAAATGGCTTTGGATATTATTTATCCATTCATTCCGAGCTTCTTTATCCATTTCTTAGAAAACTACTCGTACTTTTTTCGTTAATGTCAATCTTTCTTATGATATAAAACATATCGGAGGAAAGTTACTTTCAACGCAGTTCAGTAAATTTCGGAAAAAAGTTTTGATTGTTTTAGAACGAGCGACATATGATTATGCAAGTGGTATGTGAGTCATCTCAGTGTCCTGAAACAGCCGTCAAAGTAGTGGCCATGCAATGTTTGGTCAGGATTATGTCACTCTATTATCAGTTTATGGAGCAGTATATGGATGCACTTTTTCCGGTATGTCTTTTAGAATCTTATTTCATAGGTACAGATTTTCTTACTGCTCAACTTTTGTTAAATCTCTTATTAAATAATTATGCTTTTAGTCCCTTCCTATTTTGCATTATATTCCGTGAATCATATTGTGTATTAATTGCGAAAAATCCATGGAGAGTTTTTTTTCGGAACTATCATTTGGTAATTTGATGACAGTGGAAATAGCTGTATAATTATGTTATCATGAAGATGCGTTTTTCAGATTAGTTTAAATGCAATGAAGTCTCAAATTAATGAAGTAGCTTTACAAGGAATCGAATTCTGGTCAAACGTTTGTGAAGAAGAGATATCTTTATCCGTAGAAACCGAAGAAGCTCGGGAACAAGGCCGTGCCCCTGAAAATGTTTCACGTCATTATGCACGTGGTATATCTGCATTTGATTAGTTTTGGTTGAAATATATGCTTAGAACAAGAATCACATTTTTGTACAATGAACTTATAACATGAATACATCTCCAGTGATTATAAACCTATGGCAGGAAATCCTAATTGACGAATGATTGACCAGGGAAGGGATGGCATTATCAGGCATTAGGTCAATCAGAGAAGGACTAATTTCGATTTCTTTTCGGTGGCTATCTTCAAAATAACATGTAGTTATAACTCTCGTAGGCAATTCTTTTAACCTCTCCCTTGCATTAATTTCAGGAGCTTTAACTCATTTGATACCTATTCTCACTGAAACATTGGCTAAACAGGAGGAAAGTGACGATGAAGATGACTGGAATCCAGCGAAAGCTGCTGGCGTGTGCATAATGCTTCTTGCACAGTGTACCGGTGACTCCATTGTTGAACCAATTTTACCTTTTATCCAACAACATTTAAAAAATCCGAGCTGGAGGTGATTTTTCGCTCTTAATTCACTTTCCTCAATTGGATGCGCGATATTCTTAGCCAAAGTATTGCACCTAATTCATCTTATAACATTTGTTCCTTCATCTCTTTTATTGTAGATATCGGGAAGCATCTATAATGGCATTTGGGTCAATATTAGATGGACCAAATGAAGCAGTCCTAACACAATTAGTTGAGTCAGCATTGACAAGTATTATTGCTTCGTTATCTGATCCTCAGGTGAGTGATAATTTAATTGTAATAAGCTTGAATACAGTAGATCTTGTTCCTGCTTGTATTGTTGCGTAGTACTTGAATTCGAACATGAAGATGACATTTGAGAAATTATGAAAAGAATTAAGGTTATCACTATTAATAGGTTAAAGTATGTAAGTAAATAATAGACTTAAAATAGTTTGAAAGGAAATGACACATAACAAAATTTTTTTTGATCCGAAATATTTAAACTTAAGATTAACAGTGATATCTGCAATTCTTTAGTTGGTTACATTACAGAGACAGAAAAAAGAATTATCGTCTTCAAAGTCATTTAATGCTGTTCCTTATATGATATTTCAGCTACAAGTACGCGATACAGCTGCTTGGTGTATTGGGCGAGTGTGCGACACATGTGAGGAGGTAGTAACTCGGCAAGAAATCTTAGCTCCGATGCTTCCAGCTCTGTCGACTGCTCTGCAACAGGAACCACGCGTTGCTGCTAATGTTTGCTGGGTAATTCTTTTCTTTTCTTGAATGGAATTTACCATCTGCAGTTCTCAGTTTAAATTGAGACTCACTGTTTATACTTTGATTTATATTAATAAATCTCAAATATTAATAAATTTCATAAATAAATCTATATTAATAAATCTCATGCAAAAGCTTATTTGCAAAGGAAAAATTATGCAGTCAAACTGGTAAATGAATTTTTGCTTTTGACTAAGTTTAAACATCTTTTCAACCTCTAAAACAAGGAAATTTTTTCCAGGCAATTTCAAGCTTAGCCAAAGCAGCTTTTGATATGGCTTGCCGGCAAGGGACTGATAACAGCGGTCAACCTGAAACGTATATATTGACTTCCTGTTTTGAAGGCATGGTGAACGAGCTTATTAAGGCTACTGATAGGTTTGTTTTTGAAAGAAGCGTATAAGAATGAGGAAAAAAATACTGTGGCATTGCATTTCCTCTGTTAATTTAATTTGTTACTTTGCTTGACGTTTATGAGCCCAGAATTT